GGCTGGGATTAAACCCTCCCCAGCCGTGGAGGCACTGCGGGCTGAAGGGTGGGATGGGATGGGATGGGATCCATGGGACGGAATCCATGGGATGGGATCCATGGGATGGGATGGGATCCATGGGATGGGATCCATGGGATGGGATCCATGGGATGGGATGGGATCCATGGGATGGGANGGATGGGATCCATGGGATGGGATGGGATCCATGGGATGGGATCCATGGGATGGGATCCATGGGATGGGATGGGATCCATGGGATGGGATCCATGGAATGGGATGGGATCCATGGGATGGGATCCATGGGATGGGATGGGATCCAAGGGATGGGATCCCTGAGATCCATGGGATGGGATGGGATCCAAGGGATGGGATCCCTGAGATCCATGGGATGGGATGGGATCCAAGGGATGGGATCCATGAGATCCATGGGATGGGATGGGATGGAGCTCTTCAGCCCTCAGCACTGCGGCCAGCTCATTTCTGTCCCACTCAGGTGCCACCACGGTTCCGCTCCTGCCCCTTGGGAGTGGCTGGGCAGTCCCGGGGGTTTGGCCACCAGCCCACGAATGGGCTTGGCTCTGTCAATGCTCTCGGAGCCTGGCGGGGCTCACAAGGATGACCCCGGTGCCGGCAGCCAGGGGTCAATTGCTGCTGCTTTGGGACAGTCCGGGCTCAGCAGCGCAGGGTGGGGCATGGGCCGGTGCCACCATGGGTATGTGCCACCACGGGCCAGTGTCACCATGCGTCAGTGTCACCACGAGCCAATGCCAATAGGGGCCACTGCCATCATGGGCTGGTTGCCACCACGGGCCAGCGTCACCAGGGGCTGGTGCCACCACAGCCAGCAGAGCCTGCCCAGGGCTCACACACTGCGGTGCTGGGTGTGGAGCTGGAGGGCAGCTCCTGGGGACACACAGCATCCTTGGGCACCCCTGGGCAACCCTTGAACATCCCTGGGCATCCCTGGTTATCTCTTGAATATCCCCGGGCATCTTTGTGCATCCCTGTACATCTCTTGCACATCTTTGTGCGTCTCTGTGCACCCCTGGGCATCCTGTGCATCCTGGACTGGCTGCTGCTCCAGAGCCAGGCTGGGAGGAAGCCAGCACCACCACCCCAATGACAGCTGGGTGACCCTGCTGTCCGTCTTGGCTACTGCTTCCCCTGAGTGGCCACCAATAAATTTGTGCCTGTGGTTACCAATGCTCAGCACAACCTATCCAAGTCCCAATCTTGGGACTGAATCCTTCCATTGGATAATACCCAGGGCTGGCTAGGGGTGACAACTTGCTCCAGCAGTYACAGTTGTCCCCAAGGAGCTGCTGCCACAAGGATCCCTGAAGATCCCAGATTTCACAGGAGCCACCTGCAATCCTGGATTGTGCCAGGGGCTGCCAGCTCCAGCCCTGACACATTCTAGTAGGGTTTTATAGGAATCTCCACACCTCAGAGTTAAATAAAATGACCCAAGCTTTCCTATTCTGCAGGAATGTTTCTCAACTTCTCACTAAACCCCTGAATACCTCCCTCAGGCATCCCATGGGRGATTCCAAACCCTACTTGACTTCAGCCTGGCTGCAGGAGGGGTTTGTCAGGTTCCTGTGCCAGGATGTGACCATGCCCAGGGCACTGATGCCCTGCAGTACTCCGAGATTTCTCAGGCACAGATCAGCCCCWGGGGAGCCTTAGCCATCAGGCAGCAGATAAATCACTCTGGAGACAARGAAAATGGTTTTTCCAGCTCAGTTTGCTGTCCAAAATGGGCCATCATTTAAGGCAAAACCATCTCAAAAGAAGCTCTTCCCAGAAAATGCATTTGCTGGTCTTTGCCAGCTGTTACTGGAAGGAGAGTGCAGATCTCTGGTGATATTCCAGGGATTTTTCACAGTAAATCACTGAGTTTTGGACAAAAAGGATCTGTAAGGATGACACAAGGAACTGTAAACCTACCCAGCTACAGGCAGCTGAGCAGGATGTGACCCTGGGTGCTGATGTGACCCWKRGTGCTGATGTGACCCAAAGTGCTGATTCGAGGGAATGCCCCCATCTTTCTCCTCTGCCCCTCAGTTTTTCCCCTCTGCCAACAGCCACAGGGACAGGAATCAACTCATCACCAAGGGACAGCTCCARCCYCATCCCTGTGATCMCTCAGCTRAGGGCTCAGGAATCTYATCCCAGTGACATCCCCCTGYCATGGGCACTGATGTCACAGTGGGRACAGTGGCTGAGTGACAGTGCCAAATCTCTAGGCTCATTGTTCACTCAGAAAACCCTCCTGTTCTGCAATGTCCCAGGAGGAGAGCCCACTCAGGGCCATGGAATAGACAATGGAAAAGGTTGGACAATGGAACAGGGTGGACAATGGGAAAAGGTGGACAATGGAATAGGATGGACAATGGAACAGGGTGGACAATGGAAAAAGGTCCCTGCCATGTGCTGGAGATGGAGGCAGCAGGAGCTTGGCTGGAGAGCCCCAGGTGCAAGGACAGCCAGGTCAGGGTCACCTCCTATCCATGTCCCACGCTGGCCCAGCCAGGCCACCCCAATTCCAGCCTCCAGCTGCCCGTAGCTCTCCAGGCTGGGTGCAGGGCAGGGAGCTTGGAGGAGCCTTCTCCTCAATTATTCATGGAGAGATCTGGCTGATGGAACTGGGGCTCTCAGAGGCTGCTCCTAATGGATCCTGCAGCCGTGTCTGCCCAGTGAGCACTCCTGGGCCGGCACAATTCCCACTCCTCCCATCTCTGTGCCATCAAAATGCCACCTTCTGCTGCTAATGCGGCATTCTGCAGCCCCTGCTGGGTCAGACCCCTGCTGCCACGCTGCTGGGAGCAGAGCTGTGAGGGTGGAGGGCAGGGCGTGYTCCCCAGCCAGGGACAGGACCCACRMTGGCATCTGCCAGGACCCTGAGGAGGGGCCACAGCCCAGCTGAGACCACCCAGGGGCACCAAAAGGCACAGCTGGGGCATGGTGTGGCCTGCAGAGAGCCCAGCTTTGGGCAGASGAAGGGCAGGGGGTGACAGTGYRCACCTGGGGACRTTTCAGCAGCTGCTGGAGCYCMAGCCCAGAGAGCAGGAGGTGCTCTGTGCCTCAGGACAGCTCCTCTACAGAGGAGGATCCATGGCTGATGGTGAGGCAGAGCTGGAGGATGACTCAGGACTGGCAGAGTTCTGCAGGAGAAATGTGAAATCTGCCTCAGGGAGCCCTGGCAGCCCCTCAGCTGGTTGAGCTCTGTCCCTCTGAAGCACTGGCCACTATTCCCTGGGGACATTCCAGAACTGAACACCTCAAACTGGAAATATGACCTGGTGTTTGCAAAGCTCGAGGGGCCACATCACTGAGGAGGGGCTCATGAGGGTCACACTGTCATGGCAAGGTTTGGGCTCCCTTGGATAATCCTGTTGATCGTCCCCATGCCCATTTTGTCTGCTGCCCATCCCTCATGGGGAGCTTGGATACCCACCCATCCATTCATGGATCCATCACAGCCCCTCATCCTCCCACGAGCACCT